TTTTTTGCTATAGTAGCGAATAACGAAAAAGGAATTGAATTACTCGAATTCTTAGATACAGAATTATTATCTTATCATAAAAATTTTTATCTAATGTTGGAGAATATTTTCTGAATAAATATTATATATGGTAAAGTTTTAAAATTTTATCGTATATAGAATTTCACATAATTTAATCTTAGCTTCTTGAATTATATAAATGTAAATAATTCTATAGATTGCAATTACATTTAATAGAATTATTTTTTTTGATCTGTTAATTCTTGCTGATCATTAATTATTTGCTATATGTGTGTATATATATCTATCTTTCGATTATCTCAGACTACTTTGCATATCTTAACTGGATTAACTTTTTCTTAAGTTATCCCGAAGAAATCTCGCACAATCTAATAAAATAGAAAATCTTATATTGTATTATGCATAATATGTTTGATAAAAATGTTTGTTGATTATATTCTTTCTGTATACAATGTCACATGAATCATGTCAGATGTAAAAATTTTTTTAATAAGTTTTTCTTTTTAAATTCTTTCATTATATTGTCTGAGGATTGTGAAAGTGAAAGTATATAAGTAAAAATACTTGAGTGGAAAGTTATGTCTTTTTTGTTGAATATAGAAAAAAATATATCAATGAAAAAAATTTTTTAATGAAACTTTAATATTATAATAAAATTTTATAAAAAAGTAACAAATTTCTTTTTTTAATAAAATTATTGGTAATTAATTGGCAAGATCATTCGAATAATGAAACACAGGCTTTTCTTAAATGATAAGAAAATGGTTTTTATTAAAAAATAATTCTTTATAATAAGCAAATTGCACAAATTTTTTAATATATACACACGTGCATCTTGCAATTAATTTCTTACTTTTCTTCTCTTCATTCTTCTGTTTTTTTTAATTCCAATTGTGAATTGTGGATTTTTCAATATTATATAATTTTAAATTACCAATTCTATCTCATCGCTTTCTAATTTCCTAAATATTTTCAATTTTTAATACATTGTACATGCTATAAGAATACATTAATTTTTAATTAAATTTTTAATTAAAAATAATTTCGAATTAAATTTTTATCACAGCTATAATATAGAAAAACGTGTGTTTTTATATTGTTGTAAATAAAGATGGTATCCAATTCCAATAATAAAATATTCAGTTAATAGTATATTCGAATAATAGGTATTTGGATAATAAACTTCCTACCGTATTGTTTCACGGATATTTGATTTCAAATTATATTATATTGTTGTGGTGCTTCGCCAAATGGATCTTCTCTTAACAGTAATGGCGAATCTTCTAGCAATTATTAGCTATGTATTTATTTTTTTACACGATTTTTACTATGCATATAAATAATTAATAAACACTTTCTCGATGACGTAAGCTCGCGCCTTTTTTTTTTTTAACGTTCTTTATTAAAGAGATTAAAAAAAAAAAGAAGAAGAAAATTTTAGGCGGTGCAAAGGAACGATTATGCAAACGGTTATGAAGAAAAGCTCGGGGAGAAGCTCGTTCGTTCAACTGCAACACGCATCTCACATGGGTGATCCGATTTGCAACGGCCATGAACGTTAACAATAGCGATTAAAGAGCCATCGATCAATCTGTCCGCCTACATTCGTTCAAAGCAAACATTCTTCTCGGTGTTTCCACTTTCGATTCAAGTACGCGCCACTCGATAATGGAACAAATTATTTCAGATAAAACAAGAGTAGGTTCCAGACAGCCGCCCCTAAACCGATACGAAGGAGCAAATTAAATTAACCGAGCGAAAGAAACGCAGCCAGCGTTCGATTAACCAAAGCTTCTTCTTGTTCCACTGTCTGTGGCTGCGCCGGGCGCACGATAGCTGATGTGCAAAACATTGCGATAAGAACGGGAGAAAATGCTGCGTTAACCGTAAAGATAAAACTGCTTCTGAATCCACTGCAAATTTCAATGTTGTTTCCACGATCCTCGAGATCGATATGGGTCTTTTAAGAATTTATTAACTTTTTTTTCGACTTCTAGATTTCGAACAATTTTCTATTCCGAAAGTATAATTAAAACGAACGAATTATCAGAAATGTGTTCTAATCGACTCTACTGAATGATTATTTGAAATAACGAATACGCTTTATCTTCCGTGAAAACGAATTATTCAAGTCACTGGATTGTAAAAATTCGTGAATTTTTAATAGATGATATCTATTCGATGATGAACAAATTTTTACTCGAAACAAATTAATTCTATTTAAACGTTCATTTTAAATTTAATTTTTTAACAAAATTTTATAATTACTAGCTTCTCTATACGTTATCAAAAATAAATCAAACCATTAGAATCGAAAAAATTCAACGTAAGATTTATCACGCATCTCATATAGCAATCATCGCTAATCCTTATACTTGTAAAGGAATCTTGTTACACAGTAGTCCGCAATACAGTGGCCCCCAAATCTCAAAATCCACATATTCACTCCTATCATCCTCCCAATATTCCCCACAATTGCTACCAACGATAACAACAGAGGGCCGGTTATCCTCTCAGAAAACGGGCAGAACGTACGTTGGTGAAAATCGAAATAGATCAACACGCCCACGCGACGTTGTCTCCGCCACGGAGTCAGTGGTATAAGCACGATAAAACGGGGAAACGGTTTCGCGAGTTGTTCAAGGGCCAGACGAGGACAGATAACGAGATACGGGGATGGAAGAGGGGTGGCCGGCCGTATTTATCACTCCGAGGTCCCGAAGAGCGCACAATGCGAGGCGAGACAGAGAGAAGAGAGAAGAAAGAAGAGGGGGAGAGAGAGGGGAG